TAGCACAGTTTAGGAATCTTTGCCACCGACTTACTATTTTTATCTCCTTTTTGAAAAATATATTTAATGTATCACAATGCTGTCATGTAATTAAAAACCAAAACACACACATATACACCCCCCCCCCCTCCAAGTTGGGGAGAGAGAAAGCCCCAATTGGTGGTTCCTCAGCAGCCTTTTTGCTTCATAGACCTGGTTCTTCAACAGGGGCAGGATTAAAACTACGTGAGTGTCGTTTATATCTTTTTCTTTCTTTTTTATCTCTGAGTCTGTGGCGTGTACTCAAGAACCCCTGCTCCATTATCTGGGGGAATTGTACAATTTAGATGATCACAGAGCTGTTCTGTGCAACTTAACGTGGTTTGTCTGTGGTATTTCTTTGTGAAGTAAAGCAAGAAGATTGGCTTTTTCTGCCAAACTAATTTGGAAGGGAATTCACAAAGTGATAGTACAGGAATTGCAAGACCTAGTTACGTGTTCTTGAACTGGCATGAATGCTTTGTCCATTTTCAGTTCCAGTTATAGTAAAACAAGCTGATCTTCCAGATTGTATTGTATTATGGGTTTTAAAGAACCTTGCTGTAGCTGGGTATCGTTGCAATCCTGTTTCTGAAAAGATCTATTACAGTCTTAACTCAGAAGTGGTAATAAAAGCTTCTCAGGTTGCTCTAAGTCAGGACTGTAATTAACTGGATAAGCTAACACGACTTGTAATCAGATTTCACTGAAAATACTATTTCAGCTTGAGTGTTTAGTTGTTAGTCTGCAGCTCTGAACTAATTTTAATATAATTCTGAAACTAAATAGTCCTGTGAATATCTCTCATATTTCAGATATTTAGGCCTTGAGGGTAGGTGAGCATATACAAGGGGTTCTTAACTCTTAACACTTTTTTCCCCAAGCACAAGCTTGTATTTGGACCTGCAGAGGTAATTACAAATCTCACTGTCAGCTTCAAACTGTGTTGCAATGAGAACCTCTCTCTGGACGTTTTTTTCTGCCTTACCACTTTCTTAGAATTTAGAGGAGTATGAGAATAAATTATATTTCAATCTTTTCTGCAGTTGAAAACTTCTAAAAGTGTATCTCCATTTTTTTTCTTTTTTTCTTTTTTTTTTTGGTAGGGTTATGTTTTAAGTTCTATCGAAGGTCGTGTCGCTGTGGAATATTTGGATCCAAGTCCAGAAATCCAGAAGAAGAAATACGCCTTCAAATGCCACCGTTTGAAGGAAAACAACATTGAGCAGATTTACCCAGTCAATGCCATTTCTTTCCACAATGTCCACAACACCTTTGCAACAGGTAGAGCAGATACTCAATTTTTTTTTGGTGAAATCTTGCATCAGTTCCTTTAGTTTTGATGTAAAACAGGCCAGCCTTTGCTTCATATGCCCTGACTTTTTAAGCGTTTGAATTGTGTTTCTTGGCATCTTTTTGAGCCTTTGAATTGTGTTTCTTGGTATGAGCAGGGTTTTACAATTATTTGACGCAGTGAGATTTAACTGCTCTAACAGGGATTTTGGGATATGCTCATTGTGCTCTTTATTGAATTAACCAACCCTGTGTTTTTACTGACAAAGTAATTATGAGTAGTTTCCCCTTTTCCTTCTTTTGTTTTCTGTGCTGTACCTCTTCAGGTTTTTTTTTCCCTCCCAGTCGTAATTTATACGTGGTTTTTTTTTTAAAATGTGATTTTCAGGGGGTTCCGATGGCTTTGTGAATATTTGGGATCCCTTCAATAAGAAGAGGCTGTGCCAGTTCCATCGGTACCCCACCAGCATTGCATCCCTGGCCTTCAGCAATGATGGCACCACCCTGGCAATAGCCTCTTCCTACATGTACGAGATGGATGACATCGAGCACCCCGAAGATGGGATCTACATTCGCCAAGTGACGGACGCAGAAACAAAACCCAAGTGAGTGTGTGCTCCGCCTGGACCCGGGGCTTTCTGAGCATTCAGCCCGAGATTTATTAATTTTCTTAAATTCATGAATAGCATTATTGATGGCAGCAGATAGTGCAGCTTGACAGTAGGGCTGGGTTTGATTTTTATCTCGTTCGCCCAAGCTTTCAATATCCGTAGGTTGATAGACGTCTGATGGATAAAATTGTGCCTGGTTGTTTAGTAGGAGAAGGATGTCAAACCCTTATCCTCTTTCAATAGGGGCTATTATATGAAGCTGTGGAGTTATTGCAAGCTCATTGCTTCGGGAATTAAGTGAAGAATTCAAGAATAATTTATTTGAGTAAACGTGGCTGTGTTTGGGTGTTTAAAACTTGGGATTAATGCAGTCTTTCACACTGAGCATGCACCCAGCTGTCACAGCGAGCAGGGAATTCAGATGCTGCGCTAGGAAGGTTGTGTAAAATCAGGGGAAAGCACTCTCAGTTCCTGTGCACTGGAGTTTGCTGCAGCCCTCTGATAACACACTTCTCTGTCGTTGTTGCTGGGGGCAAACTGATGGATGGAGGTAAAGGATTCCTGTTAAACCTGCTTTGGCATGAATGTTACACAGAAAAATTGCCATCACAGGGCACAGTTGTGCTGCTCTTAACGATGCCAGCACAGGAGCAGTTGGCTTTTTTTTCAAATTCCTGTGGTTTATCCCTGCTAGTTTTTTTTTTTTTTTCCTCTTGTGGTACTCAAACTGTCTTACACCTTATCAGGTCATCTCCGTTATTTAAAGTAGCTGTGTAAAAAAAATAGACACACCTAAGTTATCAAAGTTCTTGAGTTTAAAACCTCAAGAGCTTTCCCCTCGCTCCCTCCAGTGACTTGTCTGTTACTTTGGAGCAGCCATTTTATACCTGTGGAGATGATGTGTTTAATAGCCTGTAACTCCCACATCTCTCACTTGGAGATATTTGTTTTAAAATAATTTGGATGCTCATGGAAAAATAAAGCCAGAACTGTTGTGGTCATTTATTTCCTCAAGTGAAAAAAAAATCCAAATACGATAATTCAGATTTATTTTTAAAATTGGGTTGTAGTTGTTTACATGCATTTATTTTTTTTATTTTTAATGTAGTAAAAGAATACTTGCTGCTATTGGTTTTGTAACAGTAAGAGCTGCTGCCAGTTATTTTTTTACAGTGCTAGTAGTGGTTGCTAATTCTGTAGATGCTTCATTCTGCCTTAGGAGGAGGTTAATCTACAATTAAACAATATTTCCTCTTGGCCCTCCATTATTTTCTGAAACAGATGGTTCATCATTTCCTGGGCTGTTAAACACAGCAAGGTTAAGGTTAGACTCTTGGGAATCAGCTAGTTTTGAATCTTATTAGGCTGTAGAAGGAAAACTAATAAGAATACTCCTTAATATCATTTTGTGACTGTAAACAATTATTTATTAGCAAACAATTGATCCCAGAAGGGCAAATTGTTTGAGTCAGTAATGAGCTGAGAAAAGACAGAGCATATCTGTGTATTTGGAAAATAATTGTAACGTAATTGCAATGCATTTAGACAGGCATCTTTTTGGACCTGTTTCTATCTTTAAATGAATTTCTGAAAACATTAACGAGGTTTGTATGCTTTTCTGACATTTACAAGTTGCTTGTGCCAACCTTAGGGCACTAAGAAGGATGGTTGTAGTTTAGTGTTACAGTAGAGTGAGTCATCAGTGGTTTATTCTAAAAATAAGTTATTTAGGACAGAGGACTGGTAGTTGTTTCATAGTGATCTTTTTGCATATTAATTTGAGTCACTTCACATTTCTGCACAATGCATTCTTAAATGCATCAAGATGGTGCCATATTACAGAAAGACTTGGCAAGAGCAGCTTTTTGATGATTAAATTATAATAGATCTATGTGGATACAAGTGAAAGCTGTATTTCTACAAGTTTCTGCTTTTAAAGGATGCTGAATGTTCTACCTGCTTATGATTCCTCTAAATATTGCTTCCTAAAATAGAGTTTATTTATTCCAGGTCTACTTAGACTCCTGGCGATACTTCTCTTCAGAGATGCCCACCTGCTCCTAACAAGGCTAAACTAAAACAGGAGAAGCGAGAAGAACAATCTTTGTACTCCTGTTATTTTTTTAACTAAGAAATATTTGTTTATTTACTGTAGTTTGTCTTAATCTGTCATTACTTGCCTGCTTATAATGTTAGTGAAGCTGTTTTCTTTATCTGCTGTCTGGAGCTGAATTAGTTCAGTCCTGTAGGCAACCTTTATAAAACCCACTTTTTGTAGTACCTGATTATGAAAACGTTCACTGCTTTGATATTTGTTCAATAAATATCCATAGGTTTTGGAAAACAAATACTTTGTGTAACAGTGATTGTGAACCCAAAACCTTGAATGTCTTGTTTGCATTGTTGCTAAGAAGTCTAATCTGTAATCAAATTTTGTATCAGCTTCTTGAGGATGTTGGAGTAGGGGATGGGTGTGAGAAGATGCTTGAACTGGGACAAATAAAAAAATTTCTTAGGAAAAGGAACATTTAGGAAAACAACACAGACACTGTGTGTTGTGATTTTTTCTGGACAGGAGTCTGATCAAGAGACTAAACCTGCGAGTCTGATAAATATATTCAATGTTGCACATTCCTTACTGGAAATTCTTTCTGATTAGTATCACCACTTCTTCCCTTCTATCAGTGCCTGTGTAGCCAGTGGGAGTATTTTATTACCTTTAAGAAAACAAACTTGCTGACAACAGGAATAGTAACCAGTTGTTCCAGAGAAGGTGGTGATGGAGAGGAAACAGCTCTGTATGTGCAGAAATCCAACAAACTCGAGCTGTTACCTGGCAGACGTGGTAAATGAGTTGTATATGGAATACTTTGTCATGAACTGGATGTGGTTTCCTTGGATAGTATAAACTGGAAAAAATAAAGATCTTCCTGAGTTAAATATGAATAATGCCCCCCACCACAGTGCCATCCAGCCTCTGTTCTGGTGTTTGTGCACCATCCCTCTTCCTTGCACTTTTAGTTGTTTTTTTTTTTTTTTTTTTGCATTGAGGGTACTTGGCTGATGTCGGGCAGAGGTTGAATTTTAGGTCAGCTTAGGAAGTGCTGACCCTTTGGTGTTTAGGTTTTTTGTTATATTTTGAGGACTGCATTGATAAAGAGGGTCTGGGGCCTAACCATGGGGGCTAAAGGTTTCTGTGAGGGTGATTAGCAAAGCAATAATGAGCTGAATCCCTAGTTTGGGGATAACTATAGGCTGAATATAGAGGTGTGGGGTACAAAGTGAAATAAGAGCTGGAGAACAAGAGGGAAACAAACAGACAATTAGAGGAATTTAAAAAAATTTGGTTAACAGAGCAAACATATAACCTGGAAATGGTGCCACCTGTGCAACTTCCACTGGTAAGGACTGGGGGAAAAACCTGTTAATGCTTGACGTGCTGAGATCTGTAGGTTTTAGTGGACAAAGGTAGCCCAAGATATGTGGAGGGAATGGATTGGATTGAATAGTTCTGTTTTGGCTTACAAATGATAGGAAAATTCCTTGTGGTGTGTCGGTGTTTTATGTAAATGCTTGAAGCAACAAGAGTCTGTTGAAAGCAGTGAGACAACCAGACAGAGAAAATGAATGTTGGTCAGGGCTGTGTCCATGTGTTGGGCACGAATATCACACTGTGCACTTGAAATACAGATATTTCTTTTACAAGATTAGTCTGCCTTTTATTAGCACTCTTCTAGAAATGCAGGTCAAGGCAGAGGTTCATAAGCTGCAGAAATCACGAAACAAGCCTTTTCTGACCTGTATAACAAGCAGCTGAACAAAAGGTGTACTGACTCTTGATAGAGGAATTGAGATCTAAAAAAGCTCCTTAAGTCCCTGCTTTTTGGCTGGTGTTGAGGGCTGTGGAGAAAACATGGAGCCCCAGCCATCATTGTAATGGAGTCATCAATCACCACTGACTGCTTGCAGGGACGAATATCACGGGTTGTCTCTCACAAGAGCCTCGTAACGCTGTGGATTTGAAGCCAAGTGGCATCTGTGCCCTGAGAGTCACAAAAGCAGGCTGGTAAGCACTTCTTCCTGTTGGCCAGTACTTCAGGATAATCAGTGTGTGGGTACTACACGCAGCCCTGCAGCTCTGCCGCATCTCAGGTGTGATGTTTTGTGCTGCTGCAATTATAATGAATGTATATATATTTAAAAAATGTGTTCTCTGTGTGGGTGTTTTCCCAAGCAAAGCCAGTCTCTGCTCTGAGCTCAAGGCTCTGAGCCCCCTACAAAGACTGAAGTGATGCTGCTGAGAGTGGCTTTGCAAAGCTGTGTGGGTATTGCCAGCTCCATCCTCCTTAACTGTCTCCCGCTTTTGTAAGTGTCCAGTGGTTTTTACTGCCTTGAAGATGAAGGATTTTCTGTCGTTGGTGTCACGCAGTTCAGCAGTAATTCCACTGGTGAGTGTTGAGATGGGTGTCCAAAAGCTGGGTGTCTCTACTGCTGGACACTCTTGCAAATTTGGCCTTAAATGGCACGTCCTCCATCAGGGAATGGTGTCAGTGGTCTGGAGCAGAATCCATTTGTTTGGAACAGCAAACATCCATTCTGGTGGTTACACCATCAGTACAATCATAACCACAACACTCGTCATTCTTTGGTCAATGTGCAGCTGATACATCTTCTGCCCCCCCTTCCCCAGCTCTGAAAGGTGTCCGGATTCTGTGTTTAAAATTCATTTAGCAATGAAAAGTCAAACACAGGGCTTGCCCAGATATTCTTGTAGCTGATGTGCCAAAGGCACTCCCTGGGAAATACGTCTTTTCTCCAAGGACTGGATGTGCAGCAATTTTTCACTGCATCAGGGTGTGTAAAGCCCATGTGAATGTGCTAACACATGATAGCAACATGGGGAGGGGTAATAGGTCTTCAGAGTCTCCTGTGATTACCTGCAAAGTGGAAGGGAATAAACTGTTCTCCATGTCCACTGGGACGAGGCATAATGAGCTGAAATTGCAGCAGAGATTAGTGTAGGCATTAGGAAAAACTTTCTAAGTGTAAGGATGGTTAAGCCCAGGGATAAATGGCCTGAGAAAGCTGCAGCATCTCCATCTGTGGAATTTCTCAAGCACAGGTTAGACCAGCATTTGCCAGGAACGGTGGGGATTTATCTGGTTCCATCTTTGGGCAGGAAAGACAAGGCAGAACTGATTGTAGGCATTTCTGAATTTAGGTTGATTCTGAGTTAGGGTTAATTTCTGAATGAAGGTTAACCAGGAGTACCTGACTTTTATTTGCCATATAAATACTTTGTTTACATCAGTCTTACAATAGCTGTAGTTTAAACTTTCATCCAGCAATAAACAACTCACACCAGCAGCACAGCAGGTAGTTTTATGTTTTAATCCATTCCCACTTGCAGAAAACCACTATATCCTCCTTTGGGAGAAACAGAGCAAGGTAGCATCAAGTAAAAAAAAACAAAGCAACACTTTTGCCAAAGATTTCCTGATAATTAAACCAAGGCAAGGGCTGCCTTTCCCTGCTTGTGTTTGCTGCAAACCAGCCCAGCTCTGCAGCCACAACAATGCAACAGAGGCACCAATTGCTTCATCCTCAGCACTGCACGGGGGCATTGTCAGGAGTGATTCTGGCTGGAGAATTTGCTCCCTAAATAGGCAGGACAGACAAAGGTTGAGAGAGAAGAAATATTCTCATTCCACAGATGTCAACAAAGACGCAGAATAAGGAAGTGAATATCCTTGTCACAGAGCAAAGACAGGACTTGAACAGATGTCTTGATTCCTAGTGCACATAATTGGTTTAATATTTTGCCTCTGCTGTGGGGAGTTATTTCAGTCAATCTTCTTGATTCCTGTGATGTAATTTTTTGGTCAGTCGAACAGACAGTGCTTCCCTGCAAAGGTAAACGAGACCAAATAGGTAAAAAAGAGTTAAGTATCTTCTTAAATGCAAATTTTTCTCACACAATGCCACAGTATATTGTGTTGATATTTAGCCCTGCTACGTGGCAAGAGAGATTCCAACAGAACACATTTATTTACCGCTTGAGGGAGGGATAGAGGTGACAGGAAGAAAGTGCAAGCATTTTTAAGAGCTTGTGCTTCTAAAAGTAATAATAAAAGTAATAATTGTGTTTTGACATAGTGTTGCCTAGGCAGAAAAAGATTATAACTCGGGCCCTGCAAATCAAAGTCTATCAAGAAGAATTAAATGGAGAATTTGCAATCTGCTTTGTAATGCTGAGAAAAGAACTGGCGCAGCTGTAGACTGTGCAGCAGACAAAAGAATGGAGACATCAGGGGAAAAAAATATAAAAATAAAAATATATCAGTCATTTCCCATGTTGCACACCCTCCTTTTCTGATGTCTCCTGCTGATGATACACTTTTCCTGTCCCACACAGGCGTTCCATGTTCTGCTGGGGGGTCAGTGGCTGCAGTTGCTGCAGTGCTGCATGTGCAGGTATGTGGGGTTGCAGGGTGCTCATCCCTCCCTGCAGAGCTGCAGGAATGTTTTCCCTGGGAGCAAACAGGGTATTTGTAAATGGGAAAGGCCTCCCTGTTCCCAGTCCCAGCTTGCTTAAATATGTACAGTCCCTGTTTTTAATGGTGATGCTTCTTTACCGTCCTCTGCATCGTTTAAAGGCGTCAGCTGGTGACACAGACTGTGATAAAACGGTGTAAATATCCCTTGAATTTGTAAATTCCGTGTTTTGAGAACATGGCTTTGGCCATTCCTCTTCCCCCATATTTTTAATGTTGAGATATTTTGATTCTCCACATGAAGGCTTTAGGTAGTGGCCTGCAAACACAGGGGCTCTGGAAGGTGATGCTGCCTGGGCAGTGAGGTGAGTGCCCTGCTTCAGTCAAGAGAACATTAATTTTTACTAATGAGATTTTTGGAAGGGGGCATTTTAAAAAAAATACTTGCAGATAAACTTTTCAGATAAAACATCTGGGCCTTTTGTGCAAAACCCTCAGTCCTGTACCATAAATTAAGTGTGGTGGGAATATATCTGGGGAAATCTATCTCCCTGTTCCTCCTTAAAATCTTTGGCTTTTAGATCACAGTGCTTGGTGTGAAAAATAAAAGTGCTTAAATCCTTGATTTCCCCCCCACCCCTTTGGTTATAATGGAGTCACTGTTCTTTCCTCGTCATCTGCAATCCTCAGATGCTTTTAATCAAATCATCAGGACTTAAATTATTAACCATCTTTTTGGGATTACATTTTTTATTCCTAATTACACGCAAAAGATATATATCATGAAATATGCAGCGAGTAATCGCGATTGAAGAGCACGAAAGATGGGCCCAACAGTTTTGTACATCCCAAAT